GGATAGGTTGAAACGGAGCACTGGGCTACTTGTCTGTAATACTTGAAGACACATGGTACGATCACACATAGTTTGGGTGTGTGTGACTATCAGCCCCCCAGCTGTCGAAGCGTAGCGGTTTCCCCGTCCTAACATGCGCAGGAATGGAGATACAGGACCGTGAAACACGCTAATTCCTTCCATGCTCCACACTCCCGTCATGCTAACAGCTGTCATGTGCAGCTCTCTTGGCACTTTGCCTGTAATTGCGCTTTGGAATACAAAATGCAATTTCCTGATGCGGATAACATTTGAGGTGCTGCAAAATAAGAACCGAAGATGATGACGAGGGCCAGAACTCAAGAGCAACTGTGCTGCTTCTGCAATATCCCTCGGAGGCCGCGCATTCCCACAAAACATGAAAATAAAAACGGCCTAAGCGTCCCACTCGTTAGTTTAAAGTATTTTTATGGCTTTGGAGCCGGAATCGCGCCGAATTGCAGAAATTTACACGCGATTTTAATTAATTTGCATTTCCTTGATTTTTTCATTTTTGTTTTATTTACATCTACATTCGTTGTTCTTCATTTCTAGCCTTTGTCATCTTCATCACCTTCTATTCGGACTTTGCAGCATGAGCAACACCTCAAATGTTATCCGCATCAGGAAATTGCGTTTTACTTGTATTCCAAAGCGCAATTACAGGACTTGGCAAAGTGCCAAGAGCGCGCGCGACACGCGCCGCGCGGACGGCTGTTAGCATGAACGGGAGTCTGCGCCGCAAGGGCATTGGGTACTGTGCAACGATATTGGGCGGAGCATGGAGGAATTAGCGTGTTTCACGGTCCTGTATCTCCATTCCCGCGCATGTTGGACGGGGAAACCGCTACGCTTCGACAGCTGGGAGGGTGGTAGTCACGCACACCCAAACCATGAAGAAAAACCACGGAAAATTGGTGGAGGGTTAGGAGTTCAGAGAAATGGTAGGAAGGGTTGCAAAATGGAAGAGAGAGAGTCGTGCCAAAGAGCGAGCGTGGTTGGTCTGTCTTTTTTTTACATCTAAAGAATTGTACGGCGAGCCTCCATTTCAGGTGAGAACCAAGAAATATAAGGAGAGAGCCCTGCCTTTCCGATGCTCCTTTTAAGCTGTCATGCTGTTGTCGCTTCCCTTCCCCCACTACCAGCATCGTCGTCCTGCCCTATCATAAACAAGTTGGAACTGTATGCGGCTAAATCAAACGGAGTCAGGAAAAAACCTTTCCAGTTAAATGCGCACTCCCAACAGAAAAACTTAGACTATTGTAAATAGGTATGAGGATCCTTCTCGATCATTTCTTTTTAGGTTTGGTCTCAATTCTCTTCTTTCGAAGCTTACAGGAGAAAGGATTCAGAAGCTGCTCTCTAAGTTGAAATTCACTCCGCTCAAGGTACAAACTTACATCGAGAGGTTCTGAATGTACGTGGAGATCACCCAAGGCACGTTCTGTGGTTCGGAGGGATTTCCATTGAGCTCGACTTCTCACAGACCGATCATCTCGAGGGAAATTCTTTGAAAGCCGATAACTATGGGGAGGGGAGGGGGTAAAGTGTTCATGGAAAAGAAGAAATCAACAATCACTGAAAAATTTTGCAAGCCCAAATACGATGCCCCTCCAGGCCAAAAACAATCTCGTCAGAGATTCGCGATGTACCACGTGCCCTGATATCAATACAAGGCATTGAGTATAGTGCTCACGGGGAGCAGAGGACACTTCGAGTGCCCACCAACGATGCTGCAACTGGTGCTCTACCTCCCACTTGCCGCTTCCGTTGCTCTCTCTTATTACAATTTTCGTGTTTTCTCATTATTTTGTCTTCCTAGAACTTTTTCTAGGTCACAATCCCGAAGATGAAAATTGAGACCGACTTCAATCTCAAAGAAGCGCTAATGGCGATGGGAGTGACGCAGATGTTTTCTGGCAACGCTGATTTGACTGGAATATCCAAGGCGCCTCCGCTCCACATTTCGGACGCTGCTCACAGAGCTATGATCGAGGTGGATCGATGTTCCATAATCTGAAAAAAGGTTTCTCTGTTCGCTTTGTCCAAGACCAATTTCCAGGTGGATGAAGGAGGAACAACCGCGGCGGCCGCTACAGCTATCGTGGTGAGGACGATGTCAGGTTTCGTGGAGCGACCGGTGGAATTTCAAGCTGATCATCCATTTTTGTTCATCCTAACGAAAGATAACAATCCTTTGTTCATGGGTCAATTCGTGTGAAAGATTTAATCACATTTCAAAATAAATAATGAGAAATCCTATTGATAGAATAATGCTATGTTTCTCGCTCGTATTAGGCGCTGATGCGTCGGGAGATGGTCTGGCGAGGGCATTTGACTCACTACTTGCGCAAAGCTGAATGCACCGTAGTGGTGATTAATTCCTATGCCCAATCCTAAAAGGGGAAACAGCTGCAGCTTGAGTGAACAAACTTGTAACACGATACTTATATTCAGATAGCAGTGCTTGTCTTGCACAAAAGTCCTACATGCCCCCTCCACTCTGCAATATATTAGGCTCTATTAGATTTCCAATTTACCTTCTTGGAAACGGCTTGTTTAGGATTCATTAGAACTTCGATGGTGTAGGAATATGGCGCCATAAAGGTGACTTCAGCACCACAGAGTTTCTCAAAAGCTTATTTTGTCCTTTCCGTGACTTCCGGATGCCAGTTGAGGTCCAATATGCGCTTTTCCCCATTAGCGCAGTTCACAGACACGTTTGGTAACTGTCTTTTGTTAGCTATTGGGCTATAAAATAATAGTGTCGGTGCTTGCTGATCGACATACGGATTCGACTCCCTTTACTAGTGATCAGGTCCGTCCGAAGAAGTGTAATGGTCACTTTTTGCAGACTCAAAATATGTTTTTTTCCGTGAAGGTCTAAGGCATGATAGTGTGCTATTTGCTCCACTGTAGCAGGGGTGCTAGACAGGGGAGAAATGACAAACAAGCGGAGTTAAATGATTGAAAACCTACGGAAAAAGCCTTTGTTGCGCAGAGTGCTATTTTTGGACGAGTTTCCCGTCGGCATAGTGTCAACAACCCTTACGACAGATGTGGCTACACTTATGCATATATCCAATGCTTCATATCGATTTATTTCATAAATGAAGCGATGACGTACCAACGTCAATGTCACTGTACGGTCAACTACATATGGGCGGGCGGTTGGGCGTTTGGGTGGGCATGTTGCACCTTGCTAAGCCGCTATAATGGTACCCTTCGTTGGGAATGTCGACACACAGCGCTTTCTAAGACGGAAGTTATTTTTTCGTGCTACTTTGTTCAGAGTCTGACTATTGACATGTGAAGAGCTTTTTATAGGTGCATTCACTCATCGCAACGCCATCTATTTTACGGCTAAATAGGTACTCCCATTCTCGAAGAGTTCCAACAAGAAGGGAACATTCTACAGCGAGGGAAGAAATGGAAGACAAGTTTGTCATACTGGATCGTAATATTTTGTTCCCCTGAAGCGTCGCACGCTCGAGCGAGCACTTGTTGCGCATTGTCGCATACGACAACGGCTCCTTTCTGTGGCCCGCGTCAAGTAGAGACCGAAGCTACCACCCGTTCTCAAAGACAACATACTTCAGGCGTTTTGCTAGTGCCTGTTCCATTTGTGTTCTCTCAATTACAATTAGATACTAAAAGTGCAAATTATACGGCGCTGAGCAGCAGTTCTGAGCGGATCACTATGAATGTATTTGCGCGATGCGATTCCTGTCTTCAGGGTTGATAACGCTTCATTTTTTACTCATGGAGCTCATGCATATGGTCACGAGTACAGTCCATGTGCTAAGGCACAGCTTCCTATTGTCTCTAGCGAGTGAGATATAAAATAACTGAATTTTGGTAGCTTTGCCTCGTCCTCGTAGTTTAACCAAGCTAAAAAAAGCGGAATCAATCAATTTTTGATGTACGTTCGGATTGGTCTTAATGGAGTTTGATGGAAGCTCACCGGCGAGAATATTCAACAGTTGCCTTCAAAACTGGGAACCTGGGGCCGGGTGCTGCATGAAGCTTTTTTTTTGCTATTCTTTTTTTGTGGATTTAGAATGAGAGCTTCAGATTTAGGTGGAGGGAACCGTATGACACAAATATCGCATGAAACCCTTTTTCAAATCACAATGCCCAAGATGAAAATCGAGACGGACTTCAAACTTCAGAAAAGCATTGGTAGCAATGGACGAATATGTGTTCTCTAACAGGGTCGATTTGACCGGAAACGCCGGCAAACCTCCACTCAAAGTTTCTGATGCTGCTCATAGAGCCAACATCAGAGGTAGGTTCGTTTTGTTCATGCGGACGAGGAGGAATCCTTAATGCTGTTGCTTTTTGTTCAGTATAGAATTACAAGTATTAGGGTGTCCATAAAGTTCGTTGGCCATTTGTAAACAGCGTCGCGTTACGCAACGCGTTGTGATTTTGCATAATGATTTCGCAATACTGAAAGTACTCGCGATGGGCTATCTTCTGAGCTAGCTAGCTCTAAATTTCCTTTCCTGCTCTTCCCACAATAAAGCAGTGAAGATGAGTGATAGTCACCACCACCGCCGATGTTTGCTGGACTACTACAACCTGGGCATCTCCAGACGTCAGGCCACGTCGAGGATGCGTCAGCAGTTTGGTGATAACACCCCTTCTAAGA